CTCGCAAATATATAAAATCCGCAGTCTAGAAATATTAGATATTTAAGAATCTTCATAAGTAGACCAACGATTTTTTTGCATTTTGATAATGTACATGAAATTCGCTATTTACATTACTTATTACATCATTTCTTTATCACGACGAGTGACTTCACATTTTTTCTTGATTGCGCTTGCTAACGGAAATTGAACTTTTTTACGAATCGAACGTTTCTATATACATACAATGCGTGGACGTCGAGCCCTTCGAGTCGGTGGCTGCTTGATTTATTAAAATCCTTCCCGCTCGCATTGTGTCCACTTAACCGAGCTGTCCAGAGATCAAATCTGTTTAAGTCAAGATCTCTCCGTTCCATCTCCTCGAACAAGTCGTTCCGATTTCTGTCCGTGCCGCCGCTCCCGAAAGAGAACGAATCATCTTGATAAATCGTTCCCGTGACTTCTCTTTCCGATTTATTCGCGATCCATCCGCGTCACGCCGCCGGCTCCCTCCTTCTTCGACCGTCGACTCTATTGAACAATTCTTTTCTTAACGACATCCTGCGGTTCGTTAACTTCCGCAATTTCACGTTTGTTGCACATACTTTTCTTACCTAGCTCCGGTAGTTACAAAACATCGCTACATTTATCAAATAGAAAATACAAAGCTATGAATATACACTGTCATTAAATAGGCGTAACTATGTATATCTATAAGCAAAATTCACGATAGCGATAATAACGAGGAAAAAGGACGATAGCGTCAAGGAAAACGATAAGTAGAAATACCTCGAACTTATTCATAATGATACGTTTAAGGAATATCATTCTTTTGATATCCGAAGAACGAAATTGGTAGTTTCGTTCATCGAATTTAAACGTTAAAGGCTCATTACCGATTGCATAACAAAATTTCTATAGATGACAAAACAATATTGCTATAATTATAGAATAATATTACATTATGACAAGTTGAGTCCCTTCCCGGAAAGCACCTTGGAAAAAATTAATAATCAATACAGGTAATGAACAAATCTATTACGTTCTAAAATGACAAATGCCAAGGTAATTTTTATGATAAATAAAAATATGTAGACAGCAACACCTGTACCGTTGCATGCGTAGTGAAAAAGAAAGTTTACGATGTTTCCATTTAGCATACATTTTACTTACGTTTCGTTGTTTAAGATAGTTGCACTAACACGTTAGTAATGATAAGGCCTAAAAATCACTCGTTTAACCACATTTCTCATGTACCTATCATTGTTCGATGAATTGTTATAGCCGAAGAAAGATATTTATCTCGTGCCAATGCAATTGGAACATTATTCCAATAATAAATCATATATGGTGTGCGAAGTTTGACTAACGATATACTGGAAATAAGATGGTCAATCCATCTAGGATGTATCATATATTCTTTGGTACCTATACTAATCTTGTACAAAATTTCAAACAATTTTCAATATTTTTTATTTAGACGACAATTACCATAATTTGCTTAAATTTTGTCAAAATATTAAGACAAATAAGACTTCCCTTATCCAAGTAATCATCTATTATTTAGGTATTTTCTCGAATTATCGAAATCGTGATCTCTATAAAATATTCACTAAAAGTAAAAATTGTTCCAAACTATCCGATACAAATAATTAAAGTATTAATAAAAGCAAGTGGAAGATTAGATACGTTACAACAAACTATAAATTAATCAATATAAAAATTAGAAAATATTCATACTTATACATACATCTTGTAATTGTCGAAGTATGAGATGAACGTTACTTTCGAAATGTGCAGATCTAATGTAAATTTAAGAAAAAACAATTGACGAGGAAACTACTTTATGCCCGTGACTAATTTACTTATATCTTAAAATTTGATGAAGCATAGTTTGTTCCTCTGAATAAATAAAGTAAAGTTGTTATACAGAAGTCGTTAAAAACAAATTATGAATAATGGGTAAAAATAATAATGTAGAATATACTATCGGTCACTCGTGGAGCGAAGCTACAATTACTTATTCGTCACGTTGATATATAGAGACAGCTGTTTTTTCTGATATCTGCGAAAATGTATAAATGCGTGGGATGCATATCAGTCAAAATGACATGAGCTCGTAGTGCTCCTACGACAGCAGTTCCACAGGATTCAACAATGGGTGCAAGTCTGTGGAATTTATTATTACTGTTCGCCTTCCTTTTCGGCAAAGGTAACATTAAATTATAAAAACTCATCAATCGATTCTCTAAATGATATTAAATATCCTACGTTCCCTGGTGTAGCATTTGAACAATATTTCTCTTAAAGCAATGAGACCATAATCAATTAAAACTTACCTTTCAAAAATTGCATGCTTATTATTGAATACATATTATAGAAGTTCGAGGTACACACAGATTTATATGTAGAAAAATACTTTTTAGCACATATTAATATTTCTCCTGTTTCACTATAACTATAGAGAAGTATTACATTTCTCTTGTTTCACTAGAACTATAGTAGCTCAAATTAAGTAAGTGTATCAACGAAAAGGTCAATTATTCAGGTAGTGCGCACGAGTGCGCTCAACGTAGTTTCGGCCCCGGCAGAATCGTATGCGTTTGTAATGCAACTTACTGCGATAGTACACCGGATAACGACCCAAAAATACCTCAGACTGGAACCTACTATTGGTACGTCTCGACTCAGGACGGACTCAGGTTGGATTTGAAAAAAGGGAAGATCAATTCTTGCCAAAACTCTTCACTTTCACTTCTCACTACGAAACTGGACATAGATACGACGAAAACGTACCAAACGATCCTTGGTTACGGTGCTGCATTTACAGACTCAGCTGGAATAAACGTGAAGAAACTCAGCCCAGCTACACAGGATCAATTAATCCGGTAATTAAACGGGAATTAATAAAGTGCTCGAATCACAGATCAATAAAAGTGATTTGCACAATTAAAAAATACAATTCTTCTTCGAAGTGATAATAGACGATTTCTTATTTGTGATTCACGATTTCATAGAGCGTATTACGATCCGGTGTTAGGAAGCAGGTATTTACTAGGACGAATACCGATCGGTGGAACTGATTTCTCAACGCGAGCGTACACATACGATGATCATGCTAACGATACCACCCTAGCACAATTTGCCCTCGCTCCGGAAGATTATAGTTATAAAATACCGTTCCTACAGAAAGCGCTTGAGTTAAATCCTGAAGTGAAATTCCTCAGTGCCGCGTGGTCTGCTCCGGCGTGGATGAAAACTAACGATAATCTCAAGGGATTTGGTACGTCCTTTAACGTACTAATAAAGGAAGATGAAAAAGTAAAAAATATTTGCAACTGAAAAGAATAAATTTATTAACACATGTGACTAACTGTGCTCAGTTGAACTCCATTAATTCGGATAACTAAGTTACTGTATTGCACAATGGAAAGTAGTAATTTATAATTATTGCCTAATTGATTTATAATTATTGGCTAGGTTTCTTGAAGAAAGAGTATTACCAACTGTATTCCGACTATCTATTAAAATTTCTGGATGAGTATAAAAAGAATGGAATAGACGTATGGGCGGTTTCCTCGGGTAACGAACCTATAAACACGATCATACCGTTCGATCCCCTTAATACCATGGGATGGACTCCGGACAGGATGGGTGAATGGATCGCGGAAAATTTTGGCCCGACGCTTGCCAACTCCAAACATAACACCGTGATATTGGCGCTGGACGATCAAAGAGTCGAATTACCTTGGTTCATCCAAGAGTTGTTTAAAAATGAAAAGGCAAAGAAGTATACCGCCGGCACGGCCGTCCATCCCTACGTTGATTTCTTGATCGGACCGGAAGTATTAGACAAAACGCATGATCTTGACCCAGATAAATTTATCCTGTTGACTGAAGCATCGTTAGGTAAGCGCTTCGCAGCTCAATTCTTCAAAACTGGATCAGAAATGATAAAAAATTTATTATTAATCAGTTTATGCCAGAAAGACTAAATGATTAATTTCTGAAAATAGAGTGATTCAATATCTGTATCAGAAATCGCACTGATGATAATTGCATACAACTGATTTGAATGAATTGTAGATTATTATATTCTAGAGCTATACGAATGTAAAATTAATAGCATTTTATACATAGGATCGGAGGTATTTATCCAGTCTCTAAAAGTGATACCAGGATCATGGAATCGAGGAAAGCAGTACATGGAAAGTATAATCCAGGTAAAACAAGTGCTCGCGTTATAATAATTAGACGGTCGATTTTTATGCAAAATTATATTTCCTGACAAATATTTTGTAGAATGTAATCCATTTGTACAAATCTCTGAGATTTACATCAATTGTTTTATGCACGTTTCGAGATTACATTCAATAGATGCATTTTCTCACATGCTTCTATAATTGCATAAAAATTCACATACTTTCGAGAGAAAAACAAACTATTTTTGCAAAATTACTTATTGTTGGGTATAATATTTTGATTTAAGTACATGAACCATTGGTCGGTCGGGTGGGTAGACTGGAATTATGCTCTCAATCCACAAGGCGGACCAACCTACACTAAAAATTACGTGGACTCGCCGATTATTGTCAGTGAGAATACTGACGAATTCTATAAGAATCCGATGTACTACGCGATCAAACATTTCAGTAGATTCGTCGATAGAGGTTCGGTCAGGGTATCCATTAGCGATTCGCCACTTGTTAAAGCCACGGCATTCGTTACACCCTCGAAGGAAGTCGTTACCGTCTTATACAACGAGTAATACAAATT